CAGAAAAAGAAAAAGAAAAAGAAAAAAAAAGAGAAAAAGAAAGAAAGGGTGTGTGTGTGTGTGTGGCTCAGTACAAAGGCCTTGGGTTCAATTCTCAGTTAAAAACAAAAAACAAAACAAACTTGTGCTATATTAATTCAAAATCCCCCAGTTAGGCCCAGAAAGATACATTTAAAATAAGCTCCTCAGATGACTTTTATGCTTTCTATTAAGAATTACTAGTCTAGGCTGGCCTTGTGGTGCATACCTGTAATCCCAGTACTAGGGAGGCTAAAGCAGGATTGCTTCAACTTCAAGGTCAGGCTGAACTACATAACGAGACTGACTCAAAAAGGAACAAACAAACTAGTTAGCCAGGTATGGTGGCATACACCCGTGATTCTAACACTTGGGATGATGTTAAGGCAAGAGGATTTTAAATTTGAGGCCAGCCTGGACTACACAGTAAGCCTTGCCTCAAAAATTAGCTCCTAAAGTGATATGATTCTGATGAATTCCAGTTGCCAGTGCTATTTCTTGCCTGCTGCCTGTACCCTCATCTTTGCCTGCCAGCCAGCCTGCAAATGTGTGCTGAGGAAGGCAGTGAAAGACGGTGCAAAGCTGGCTCCAGGGTTAGAAAAACCACACTGCATCATCCTGCAGTGGGGCAGAAGACTTGTCTTCATGAAAGCCCAGTGCAGTAGCTTTTACTTCCTCTTAGAACCTTTCTGATGGGGTTAAGTGATTGCACTAGGAAACAAAATATATCAAACTTACTAACTACAGGAAGTTGGACAGGTTTCAGGATAAAGCAAAGTGACAGCAAGAGAATCCCTGGCTCCAGTGTTGACTCTGCCTTCCATGTGGTCAAATCACTTAGCTTTTCTGGATCTAAGTCACTCAAGATGATCTTGATTTCCAAACTCTCAGCTTAAAAATTCTAATTCTGGAACAAGACTTGTTTTAAAGATCTTCTCTAAGATAGGGACAAGAGGTGAAAGGTGGAGCTGAAATCAGAGCAAACTCATCTCTACTCCACTTAATAGCTTCTTTACAATTAACATTCACTGCAGGTCAGAGTCCAGTTATTCAGCAAAAAGCAGCATGAGATCACCTTCTAGCATCTCCCCAGCTCCTTTGGGGTAGTTGAAAAGGGCTTTCCGTGGTGGAGCGAGGTCTGAGACACTGAACCCAGATCCAGAGACAGAACTTCCACTGACCCCACCAGCTGAGGAGGACGATGAAGAGGCAGCCATTTCCTCGAGTAGAATTGACTTCCCTACAGAGAAGGAAAAAAACCCAAAAACCAAAAATCAGCAGTTGGCAAGTTTGTGGAAGTGAGATTGACAGTATTTATATATATATATAAAAAGAAGAAGAAAAACGAATTAGCTTCCCCTTCTACCCTCTCTAGTCCCACAATCTTTTATTAATGCTTCACACTAACCATCACTTGGGTGTTTGTCACTTAGGGTTTTCAAGCAAAAATATGTTGAAGAGTAATTTGCCTACATAGAATACCACTTCCCACCATTAGCAAAGTGTTTCTGTCATTTGGGATATATATAAAAAGAAGAAGAAAAACGAATTAGCTTCCCCTTCTACCCTCTCTAGTCCCACAATCTTTTATTAATGCTTCACACTAACCATCACTTGGGTGTTTGTCACTTAGGGTTTTCAAGCAAAAATATGTTGAAGAGTAATTTGCCTACATAGAATACCACTTCCCACCATTAGCAAAGTGTTTCTGTCATTTGGGATTGACTGTGTCTGATTTATGAACTATGAAGGGGTGATATGGCAGTGCCAAAGTGGAAATGTGAATGAGGAAATAAATTACAAGGATAAAACAATCATGCTGCACAGGACAGTTTGTCTTGGATACACCCTGACCAAGCCACACCAAGAAACTGACTTATAAAATTTTCCAACTGAGATTCCAGAATAACACTGTGTTCTGTTCCCTAGGAAAGGAAACTGGTTAGGAAATACAAAGTGGCACTTTCACCTTTTTTTCACCAGAATGTAATACTACAATCCACCACTTGGTGGAGTCCCAAAACTGGAACAAAATAGCTCATGAAAGGATCTTCTTAGAAGTCAAGGCCTCTTATGAATAGAGCAGCTGTGTTTAATCATGTGTCTTATCAAAGAATCTCAATGTAAATGAGGAAATCTGTACTGAATATATGACTTCTCACAAAAGTTAAAAATATCTCTGTCACAGACACACCATTTTAAACAAAAGATTCCAAAGTGTGTGTATGTTTTTTGGTACTGGGGATTGAACTCAGGACCTTGCACTTGTGAGGCAGGTGGATGCTGCTGAGCTAAATCCCCAGCTCCAAAGTATATATACATATACATATACATTTTTTTTTAAAAAAAAAAAAAAGCCTGGGGATTTAGCTCAGTGGTTCTGCCGCCTGCCTGGCAAGCACAAGGACCAGAGTTCAAACCCTGGTACACAAAACAACAAAAAACTAGCACCACACTAATAGAACTTTCTGCCAGGATGGAAATGTTCTAATGTTCTATTTTTGCATTTCCCAATATGGTAGCCACTAGCCTCCTGAGCTATAAATTCGTGTGACTGAAGAACTGGATTTTCAATTTTGTTTAATGTTAATTAAAAATTCAATAATTAAAGCTGGGTGTGGTGGCACACACCTGTAATCCCAGCACTCGGGAGGCTGAGGCAGGAGGATCACTGTGAGTTCGAGACCAGCCTGGGCTACATAGTGAGTTTCAGGTCAGTCTTAACTACATAGTGAGACCCTGTCTCAAAAAACAAAACAAACAAACAAACAAAATCAATAATTACATGTGTTATACTGGATAATGCAGTTCTAGTATTTAAATTAAAAAATGACTGCCGGGGATTTAGCTCAGTGGCACTGCGCCTGCCTTGCAAATGCAAGATCCTGAGTTTGATCTCCAGCACCAAAAAAAAGAAAAAAAAAAGAAAAAAAAAAAAGATTTTCTTCTGTAATGGTCAGATAATTTGAATATTTTTCATTAATATTTTGTTGCTAGTTGTAAAATGAACATATTTGCTACAAAAAGTTGAGGGCAGGGAAATAGCTCTACATGGTGGAGCATGTACTTGAGACCTTGCACTGAATCTCTAGCACAAAAAAAAAAAAAAAAAGAGTTGAAACTTATTTTTTTTACAGACAAATCTGTTATGGAATGCTATGCAGATATACATCCTCTATATACAGAACGGCTAGTTTCCTACTAAGGAAAATGATGCACTATGTCTGAAATGTTGGCTGTTCTTTCTTTAATTTTATGATGATTTGAGGCTGTCAGAGATGCTGAGCTTGGTTTCTGATTTCATTATATGTTCATAAGCAATACTGATTGGTTCTAATGCCTGCCTTGCAAGTGCAAGGAACCAAGTTCAATCCCCAGTACAAAAAAAAAAAAAAAAAACAAAAAAAACCAAAAAAAACCCAACAAAAACCTGATTAATACTGAAGTGGGATATGGAACAGGAAGGTTACTGTTATAATTGGATTGATTAACAACATGTTTCATTTTGCTATTATGTTACTTTTCCTTTCTTCTCTGGGCTCTGATAACTTTCCAAATTGTATTCATGCCCATAGAGGCAACAACTTTTCAAGTCAGATTTGTATCCAATCCTTTGGACCCTACTGGGTCAAAATATAGCTCAGTAAATTTGTAAATTTAGCAGTAAGGGACCAGGTCCAAGTTTTAAATGGATTTCTGATGAGATTCAAATAAAACATACAGGCAACTTGGCCACCTGCTGAAGCATAGCTTACTCTTTATTTTCTACCAGTTCAGAGTAGAACCCACTGTGAACTGTTTATATACAGTATCTCACCTAAGATTTAAAACTGCAATCTTTTCCCTCCACCCTCTAATCAGCTGCAAACACTTTATATTTGGAAATCAACGGCTCTGCAGAGCACCCAAGCACCTCCCAGAGTGGAGAGAGCTTCAAAAGCCAGCCATGGGGGGACTAAGTGGAATATAATCAAATCAAATACCTTTCTTCCCATTCTAATTCTCAAAACTACTACAGTACCATTCATACAAAATAGTCAGCAGGGCTGAAAAACAGAAACCAGAATTAGTACAAGGCTTTTATTTAGTTTTTTGGTACCGGGGATGAATTCAGGTCCTTGCCCCTGTGAGGGAGGCAGAACCACTGAGCTAAATCCCCAGCCCTAAGGCTAACTTTTAAATACACAGTGCCAAGGGATGGGGATTTAGCTCAGCAGTTCGGTGGCCTGACTTGCAAGCGCGAAGACCCGAGGACCTGAGTTCAATCCCCGGTACCGAAACAAAAACAAAAAACCCGCAGTGCCTGCTGATACACCAAAGCAATTTCTAGCTCTAAGCATTTAGGTTAAGTATTTATTTACTTATTTTCGCTTTTGGTACAGAGGACTGACCCCAAGGCCTTGAACATGCTAAGCGTGAGCCCCATCACTGGGTTTGGATGCTATTACCAAACAGTACATGTGAATTTAACCTTGGATTGTAAGTGCTCTCTGATGGCAAGCATTAACTGATGGCCTGAACCACTTAAGTAAATGGTTTCAGAATGAATTAAATATTACCACAGATTCTTTACAGGTCACCCAATTTCCTCCTTAATGTAGATGACAAAACTAAGGCAAACTGGGCATGGTGGCACATGCCTTGTAATCCCAGCATTCGGGAGGCTAAGGCAGGAGGAACCCTGAGAGTTTAAGGCCAGCCTGAACTACATAGCAAGATTGTGTCTCAAAAAACCAAACCAAACAAAAACCCAAAAAACAAAAAAAAAAAAACCCTGAGACATCAAGACAATTTTAGCTTATATGTCTTTTTTTTTTTTTTTTTTTTTTTTTTTTACTGAGGATTGGTCTCAGGACCTGGCACTTGAGAGGTAGGGTGGTTCAACCACTGAGCTAAATCCCCAGCCCAATGTGATTGATTGTTCTGTTTTGAGACAAGAGTCTTACAATGTAGTCCAGGCTGGCCTTGAACTTATATCCTCCTGTCTCTGGCTCCAGAGGGCTGGAACTGAGGCAAATCAGCGTAATAGTTAAGAACTGACCAAAGCCTCTCTGGGTTTGTGTCCTGGATTTGCTACTCTGACTCTGGACAAATCCCTTAAACTTTTTTTTTTTTTTTGTACTAGGGATTGAACTTGGGACCTTGTGCTTGGGAGGCAGGCAGTGGAACCACTGAGCTAAATCCCAGCCCTTAAACTTTCTATTCTTTAGTTGTCTCATTTGTGAAATGGGGTAATAGTGCCTAACTTACAGAAGTGTTATGAAGATTACATGAATACATGTAAAGCAAGTGGAAGTTTCAAGCTTAGCAAACACCTCTTTTTTTTCTCTGCAATACAGATACCAGTTTTTTTTCTTCCTTTTTGGTACTGAGGGATTAAACCCAGAGCCTCACACTGAATACATTCCCAACCCTTTTTCTTTCTTTTTTTGGTACCAGAGATCAAACTAGGGACCTTGTGCTTGTGAGGTAGGCAGCAGCACCACTGAGCTAAATCCCTGGCCCTTTATTGCTTATTTTGAGAGAGGGTCTAAGTTGCCTAGGCTGAACTCAAACTTACCACCCTCCTGTCTCAGTCTCCTGAGTGTCTGGGATTATAGGTATGCACCACTGTACCTGGTGTTCATACTTATGTCCCAACATACTTGCTCATGGGAAAAGTTTTAATTCTCTCCATCTGATGATGCACAGCAAATTCCTAAAGGGGAAAGGGTCCACTCAGGATTTGCCTCTATTGTTCTCTTCACAACCTACCACTTGAACTACACCCCAGCTGGGACACTTCCATTCCAAGGTTCACATCTGGAAGAATTCTGTCATCTTAGGAAGTAGAAAGGAATTCTTTCTATCCTCAAGGCCTAGTATAGAAGCAGTATCACAGCGTTTCCAGGATGAATGGATGCTTCAGAAATAACAGGACAAGGGCTAGCACCTGACATAGGTTATGTGGAGGTTGGAGAAACAGTTAGCTCATTGTTTTTTTCTCACTGTGCAGATTTCTTTATACAAATCTATTTTCCACTAGAATCCTAGGCCCTCAGAAGGTATTCAGGCTATACAGGCCCGGCAATATAGGCCTATTTTCTTGGGGGGGGGTATTTTCTGTCTTTCTTTTTTTGGTACCAGGGATGGAACTCTGGAACTTATGCTTGTGAGGCAGGTGGCGGCGCCACTGATCCAAATCCCTGGCCCCCTAAACCTATTTTAAAAAATGATCCTTCCCTGAAGTCCGGTGTGGTGTAGCTCACTTGTAATCCTAGTAGTTGGGAGGCTGAGGCAGGAGGATGGCTGCAAGTTCGAAGCCAGCTTGGCTACATAGTGAGACCGTCTCAAAAAATAAAAACGGGGTTAAAAAAAATCTTTCCCTGAAAAGCTCTCATTAAAAATACAGGATGAAGAAGTTCCTAACCCATTACAATGGCAAATTATGATAGCCAATTGTTAAATTTCACCATTACTACATCGTTCCACTGTTTCACTCAATCAGCCGTATTACAATTCAAATCAAATAGACCCTGCAGCTCTAGCTGGGCAGAGCAGACAAAGAGGGACAGAACGGAGAGGAGCCCACATCAACCGCCACCAAACTAACAGCAAGCAGTGATTCCCTCCATCTTAGGTCCAAAGCGGACCTAAAGCCATACGGCTTTCCCACTGCGCAGGCGCAGCCCTTCGGCCCGCATGCGCACTCCGTCCAGCGCGGCCTGAAGAAATTTCCTTTCACACGCCATCTTTGGCAGCCTCCTGTGTCTCCTACCTTCTCCGTTTTCCTAGACCCTGCAGGTAGGATCCCGGGGTCAATTCCCTTTCCACCAGCCTCCTAAAAGCCCTTCGTTTACCTCAAGCCACTTACCTTAGCGGCTTTAGCACTTTCCCCCACAGCCCCGCCCCCAGAGCCAGCCAGAGTGGTCGCGCACACAACGACGAGACAGTGGCGCCCGCGCAAGGAAGGC